CACCTGTGGTAACCAGATTGTTATGCACTCAGATTTAATTTATCTCCACAACAAGCCTAGGTTAATTCTATTATGTTTCCCCATCGGAGTTTGTTTTGACTCATCACCAGTCGGGTCTTTGGTATCTCTCCATTTCCCCAGTGAGTTTGTATTTGCGCTTGCCTTTGCAAGCCTTTGGTTATTTTACCCGTGTTTGCCTTGCCGTTAGAGTGTGAGTAAGAGTTGGTGTATAACCTTTCTTGCTTCTCGAATGTTTGAGTATCCATACATGGTGTGCGGTAATTCAGATAATTGTCACGTTTGAAGAATTACACCCCGCATTTGGCCTGAGGGATTTTTGTAGTTCTTGCGTATTTGCAACCTACCGAAAGGCCAACGTGTTTTGGAAATCCTTATTAGAGTCTGCTTTGACCAATCTCTTTCTCTTGTAGAGTTCACCTTTGATCGATGCTCTTTGAAGGTCCTGCTTAGTCGGTTCCTTGTTTTGGTTTATCCGCATTAGTCGGGTCCTCCTTTTGTTAGCTTAGCCAACCTTTTATGTTAAGATCCCTTCAGTGTCTCTTCAAAGTCCAGTTTTCTGGCATCCTCGTTTAGGCGAATGCGTCCTTTCTTGTTGGGGCTTTCTTCGATTAGTCTCGTTCTTGTGTTCACTATCAACTCCAAACATTTGCTTCTTGATGCTCAATTTCGCTCTTGTGTGTCTAACTCTGACCAGATATGCATATCTTTATCCTTTGTTAAAATCTTGATTCGGTTGGTATCGTTTCTTTTAAAATCCCGCTTCGGCTGGTATCCTTTGTTAAAATCCCGCTTCGGCTGGTATCCTTTGTTAAAACCCCGCTTTGGCTGGTATCCTTTGTTAAAACCCCGCTTCGATTGGTATCCTTTGTTAAAATCCCGCTTCGGCTGGTATCCTTTGTTAAAACCTCGCTTCGGCTGGTATCCTTTGTTAAAATCCCGCTTCGGCTGGTATCCTCTGTGAAGATTCCCCTTCGGCTGGTTTCTTCGCCCTTAAAGTCCACCTTCGGCTGGCATCCTTAAAATCCACCTTCGGCTGGTATCATTTGTTGAGAGTCCCCTTCGACTGGTCTCTTTTCAGTTATAAGTTCGCCTTTGACCGACATTATTTTCTTAGGAATCTACCTTCGGCATAGTATTCCTTGATGAAGATTCCCCTTCGGCTGGTTTCTTCGCCCTTAAAGTCCACCTTCGGCTGGCATCTTTAAAATCCACCTTCGGCTGGTATCATTTGTTGAGAGTCCCCTTCGGCTGGTCTCTTTTCAGTTGTAAGTTCGCCTTTGATTGGCGTTCTTTTCTTAGGAATCTACCTTCGGCATAGTATTCCATGATAAAGATTCCCCTTCGGCTGGTTTCTTCGCCCTTAAAGTCCACCTTCGACTGGAATCCTTAAAGTCCACCTTCGGCTGGCATCCTTAAAATCCACCTTCGGCTGGTATCACTTATTGAGAGTCCCCTTCGGCTGGTCTCTTTTCAGTTGTAAGTTCGCATTTGACCAGCGTTCTTTTCTTAGGAATCTACCTTTGGCATAGTATTCCTTGATGAAGATTCCCCTTCGGCTAGTTTCTTCGCCCTTAAAATCCACCTTCGGCTGGTATCATTTGTTGGGAGTCCCATTCGTTTGGTCTCTTTCCTCAGTAAGTCCGCCTTTGATAGGTGTTCCTTCGTCAGAGCCTCCTTCGGTCGGTCTCTTTCTTTTGTATGTCTAACCTTGACCTGACATCCAAGAGATTTACTCAGCTAACTACTGTGATCCAAAAAGCAAAAAATATAATAAAAAATAATAAAATAGGAAAAATGAAAAAAAGTATAATAATACCTGATTGGCTTCAGAGCGCAAATTTTCGGGTTCTTTTAAGTATTTAATCTTCTTTTAACTTGAAGGTTTGAAAGGTTAGAGCCAATCTTACCTTCAGGTCTAAGGCGATTAAATAGGGGCAGCTGTTGCACCCCAAAATTTGCCATCCTAATTTCTTCTATCTGGCTTAGACTCTTGCATTCATCTATATATATATATTCCATTAGGTCATTAACATACATTTGCTTTCAATAAAGCGCTTGAGGTTCGAAGTTCAGTGGTTGTGCGATATTAGGGTTTCGCAACAGTTAAGGTGTTTGTATCCAATAAAGCCTGATTCTTCTGATTATCCTTCAAACAGTGAAATGTGGAAATTAGGATTGCGACCTATGCTTATTAAAGATCCTTCTCTCTTCAAGATTAATGGGCTATTACTCATTCAGATGCATTCAAGACAAGAGTCGGTGCTTTTCTCCACCCAAGTTTGTGCTTGTCAGCATTTCATCAACCGAGGTTCATTAGGTTTTCTAAGTCATGGCCATCTTGGTCATATTTCTTTCTGTATCCCCATGTTCATTTCCAAGTTGTTCTACGAGGTCACCTAAGGGCTACCAGGTCAGGCATTCATCATCTCCTTGTGCTAAACTCCATCCTTTGATTAGGGTTTATTTCTTTAAATCATGTACCATTCAAGAGAGGTTTCTCTGGGAAGTTGTGATTATCAGGAAAGGCTATAATCAAGGGATATCGTCCATGAACAGTCAGGATTTCAATTGATATATCTTTGGAAAATAAGAAGGAAATCATTGCTTGAAACTCTAGTCATATGGGCAACAACTCTATTCTAGAAAAGAAGATTCAGATAGACCTTCTTCATGAATTAGGGTTTGTATGCCTTATAATGCAAAGTCCTTCGTCTGTTCGATTGGCTTACCTGAAGTATAATCTATTTTCTTCAGATTTCATTTCAATGCTTTGAAGATCAAAATCTAAAATATTTGCGTGGAAGTTTAGGATTTATATCCTATCATACTTGGGTTTATCAACATCTTCAACAGAGGTTCATGGGATGATAAGGCGTGATATAAGGATGGCATTGTGAATTTGTTATGATCAAGGGCATTATCATTCAAAATTGTTTGATCGCTTGTATTGAAAGTTAGCTTGGAGGTGGGAAGTAAAATTAAAAGTTTTCTTAAAGACATGGTACTTTGTGAGATCATTGGATAACGAGTCAAAGGCTTATAGATTGAATTTTAAAATATTAAATCAGGGTTCAAAGAAATTTTTGTGGGTTCATTGTTATGCTTATTGCTCACAAGGCAAACGGTCACTAATTGATTGGTTTTGTTAATTGAAGATTGGTTTAGAATTGTTCATCCAAGTTTCATTTGTGTTCCAAGTTAAGATTTGAAGGAAACTCATATGGAATACAAGTTGCAGAGTGCAAAAACCACCATGGTTCATTCAAGTTCACCTATGATTCAAAGTTTATAGCAATTTGAAATCCCATCCCAAGGGATTGTCTCGTTACATTAACCAAGGCATATTGAAAAATGGAAGCATGCCTTCACCGTATGTTGCTTTCGGCTATGGAGATATGTAAGGAGCATATATTTTTGAGATAAAATTACAAGCTAAAAATATGAATAACATTCTTCATACACTTCCAACCATTCAAAGTTCCATATAAAAAGTGACAATTTCTATCCAATTCATGAATATATTACATCAAAAGCCATAATAAAATCTATCCTAAACCTATTTTTCCCGAATTAAATTCCCTCGAGTTGCTCCATGCTATGCCTCTTCAAACATATTGCCATTTTCGATTAGCCATGCCTTTCAAGTTATGCCAATTCAATTATAACCTTGGTATTGATTCACCATAGACCTACATAAATGCAAGAATAAGTCAGTTTGCATTCAAGCATTTCAATAGGGAAAGCATATCGTTAATCACAGCCCGAGAATTAGAGAAGTGAAATATTTGAAGTATCCATTATCCAATTCAAGAAATGTTCACAAAGTATAAAATCAAAAACAAAAAATATGATGAATAACCAAATCCAAACCCGGTTTATTCATATAACAGAAGAAACAGAAATTCAGCTTTCGGTTCAGTAGGAAATGCAGAGGAAAAATAAAAGGTATCAGATATTTCACAAGAAAAATATATTAGAAAATAAGGAAACAGTTTTACAATTCAGCAGTTTCCAAACAGAACCTATAACCAACTCTCTAACTAACATCAACCGAAACTAACTCCAACAAACTCCCTAACGGTTAACTGACTGTAATTGAATTTAAAACTCACTAACTATCCAACCACCTACAACAACCTCCTAACAACTTCTCAACAAAATTCAGAACAGGAAAAAGGATACGGCATAATAGACTTCTAACCTGAAACTAACTTCTTAACTAACATACAGTTTCAATAACCCCGAGGTCTCTAAAAAACTTCCTAATAGCAGCAACATAATTATATAACTAACTCCCTTAATCCAATGAAAAAGGGCTCAAGCTGTAACCAACTTCATAACTGTTTTCATTCACAACTTCCTTTATATAATAGAAATTCAGAGATTGCAGAGAGGGGGATATATATCATCATTCAGTTTCAGATTCATAATCATTATTCACCAAGAAAAATCCCAGAGCAGAACTACAAAAGAAACTTACCAAAAAGAAATTCCTCTCGACTTTCTCAAAAACTTCATATTCATCATTCTGTTCTTACTTCAAGTAACTGAATCAATAATTGCAGATTCATCTATTCTTCACACACGCATCACTCTTCGTCTATTCCTCTTTTTTTTACTCTGATTCACCATCGCAGCATCTTCATCTTTCTCTGGAAAAATCACCATTAACACTCTGCATCGAATGGCCTCAAGCCCTGAATCGCAAGTCTCCATCGCATCTTCAATCTTGGCATCAACAATATTTCATCGATCTTCCTCATCAATCTGCATCACCTTCACTCCTCACTTTAAACGCATGCAAAACTCTTTCTCTTCTACAAATTCATCAACATAACATAAGCACGAGAAGAAGGAGAAGAAGATCGGAATAATAGATACATATACACATAAAATTCAGAGTAAAAATTCAGAAACTTACCGGTATGTTTCATTCTTCTAATTTCTAAGAACAGGGACGCATCTATGCACTCTCTTCTATGACCTCCGCCTTCAATCTTCACCCTTATCCTTGTAACTCAGAAACTCACATCAGCATAACTCCAACCCCGACATTAACTCTGCATCACTCTCCATTACTGCACATCTTCAACCTGCACCAACTTCAAGCCTCTTCACTGAACCGGGTCGACTTTCATTACAACCCCATCGAATCCACGGCTTTATCATCATCACCTACTACTACAAATCTTTATTATCAATCTACTTGTTGTAGCTTCAAACAAGAACTCTACATCATCTTCAACTTGCACTGCAACAGCATTAATGCGCCAACGGATCACATCATCATCAATGAAATCGTGAAACCAAATTTGAGAATCCCCAGTGGAGGAGTTGAATCGAAGAAAATGGTGGAGGTGAATCGGTGTTACGAACCAAATAAGTTGAATCGACAGTATGAACCAAGAACAAAGTGGCGCGTGATAGAAATTTGAAGGAGAAGTGAGTTGAGGAGACGATGGAGTGCCGTGAAACAAATACCTAGTATGAAGAGAGCAGAAGGGAGATCGCCGGTGATGGAAGGTATCTGTGGCGCTGCGAGTGTAGCGAGAGGAAGAAGAATTTGAAGCGGCACGCCCAATCATAACCCTAAATTCCATGTATACTCTCTTTTCAATTTCTCATTTATTTTTATTTTATTATTTTTCTTTTTTGATTGAAAATTAAGATAACGATATATGATAAGAAAAGAAAATAGTTTGTGAAGTAGTATTGTTGTCTGGGCCTGAATTGTTGCCTTTTAAGCCCATCAGAATTTTTTTGTGAAGTATGGTGTTTGTTACAACAAAAAAGAAGCTGCTATTTGGATTTTCATAATGGGCCTAGAGCTGTTTACTATTTTATGCCCTTGTATTCCAGTTAACACCCCCCTGATACTCCTTTACTTAAGATTTAGGACTTTTTTTTTTAATTTTTTAGATTTTTGTTATGAAAAATTGTGATAAAATCAATAAAAATGGTAGAATACAATATAATTTTTCTATAATCTCTTTAGTCTTTTGATAGAATTTTCCTCACATGAAAAACTAATAAAAAATATTTTTTCTTTTAGATTATTTTTATGCATATTTTTTATGCTGCTTTTCCATGACATTTTTGACGTGTTTGTTCATTGTGCAAGGTATATTTTTTTGCTTTCGATCATGTAACATAACGAGTTGTTATGTGATCGAAGCATATGACTTAGGCTCATTTCCGATGCGACACGCCTTATTTCTCATTGTCCTGAGAAATTCATATTACATTATATGTTGTCCTGATACATGTGATATTTTATGATACTTTATGCAGGAACTTCTGATTACGCGTCGCATTCGCGACACGCGTTGGCCTTTATCTTAGTTGGATATTGTTTCTGACTCTGTTTGTTTCTTGGTGAAGCTTTCTCGACGCGTACTCCCTGCTTTTTCAGTGCTTTCGTCTGCTCTTGACGACTTGCTCACTTTGGTAGCCTCCGTTACTACCCTTGTACTTCTTTGCACTTTATTGCATTTCGTTATTGCTTTCTAGAAATCATGAGAAATAGGGTTTTATTGCAAACAATCCAAACAAACATTAGGTAGAATTCCATCAAAATTCTAACTTTAGGTCTAACAATGCACGATAAAATTAGGTCTAGAAATAGGCTAGTCTCCCTGTGACTTTTCTCCCCTTTTTGCATATGCATTTAAAACTAAAAATTCTTTTTCTACAAACTTCAAAAATACTTAAAAATTTACTGACGAGAATCGTGCCTTTGTTGAACATGGGAGATGATAAGCGGGTCTCTTCTCGATCTTATCGTTTTTCCATTCTAAGACTTGGCGTGGTTCAAGTCTCAAAGACTTATTTCATGAATAAGTAGAGGAATGGCTAAAATCTCTCTCTTGAGATCAACTAGCTGTTATCTACAAGCAAAAACACCGACCAATACAAACTCTGTTGCCTACGGGCCTTCCTTTCAAAAACTTTTTTTCAAAGAATATATTAATTCACTTCCGTTCTGACGCGTAAGTCTCCAAGGGTCAAGTTGCGGCAGAAGGCGAAATTAATATCGTTCATCAAAAACACAAACCAATTCAAACTTTTTTGTGCGCCCAAGCACCTTTTGTCCAAACCTTTTCAAAAGAGCATGTTAATTCACTTTTGTGCTGACGCGTAAGTCTCCAAGGGTCGAGTTGCGACAGAAGGAGAAATTAATACTGTTCACATAAAAATACAAACCAACAAAAACATATGAGCCGAACTACGGCTGCTCTGATTCCTTAAAAGGGATATGTATGCATCAGGGTAGGGCCCGAACGAGCACAACTTTTATTTTCCCTACATTCTTTTTCCCTTTCTTTTGCATGCATTCTCCCTTCAGTAGTATAGTAAACAGTAAGCATAGATTAAACACACCCATAAGATAGACAACAAGAGTGGATACCGTAGAGTACTACGGGCGTGTGTGGTGCCAATACCTTCCCCTCGCATAACAGACTGCCTTACCCGATCTCTCGGTCGCAAGACCGTGACTTCTCCCTTCTCGGGTTTTCTCGATGTTTACCTTTCCCTCCATGTGGGATAAAATACGTTCGATGGCGACTTCATTTTTTGATGATTTTCAGCCGGTTGTTTCAGTATACACCAACCCTTTCATTTGAAACATTTTCAAAAGATAAAGCTCTTTGTACGCATTCTTATTGAAACGGGAGTCATTACAAAGACACTTTTGAAAATCACTTTCAAAAACACATTCCACAAGCACCTCTTTGAACTATTTTCAAAACCAACACTTTGTACGCGTTCTTATAGAAACGAGAACCATTATCAAGACGTTTTCAAAATACTTCTAAAACCCACACCACAAAGCATATTTTCAAACAAAAGCAAGTGATCTAGCAAGCAACTAAGAGCCCGTAGATAACTACGGATGGAAAGAGTGCTAATACCTTCCCTTTTCATAACCTACCCCCCCCCCCAACTCAAAAAATAATCTCGAAAGGTCTTTCCTGTTCTTTTCAACCTTTCCTTATTGGATAAAAGAAAAGTCGGTGGCGACTCTTGCTATCCCTAACAATTGCGATCAAACGTAAAACACCCAAGTCAGTTCTCCCTCCGTATTACAGAACTGGCGACTCTGTTGGGGACGTTCTTAAAAGTTGGGTTACCTTAGGGCTAGATCACCTTTACTTTCTTTCCTTGTTTAACTTGCTTGCTTTACATTATGGTTCCTTGTTTGGGCTTGTTTTGATCCTCTACCCGGATCTGGGGTACCTTTTAGGTAAGTAGCAATAGATTGTGGAAATTTTACGGCATAGACCGACACGGTTGAAGAAATGGCTATGTTAGTGTGACGCATTTATTCGTACCGGTATCCCTTGTGTTGAATTGAGGAGAATACGGGGCCGCTGAGCGGTGTCGTGAAGCACTAACTGACTTTAGAACCTTAATTGAACAACTTGGCCATTATGAAGTAGTGACATAGTCGGATTTGGTTCTGACTAAAGTTTGGTTGATACTCGATGCTACGCTCATTGAGATCAGACTTTTGGGATATCTCGTCCGCAAGAAAAGATTGATTAAGCTGAGATAATGCATAAAAGAAAGGTCGGTGATATTAAGATCCCTTAGAACCCAATTAAATTCTAGGATAGTTTGAGCCAAATAAACTTCAAGAGGATACTTACCTACGAACCCCATGCAAGCCTTTACCTAAGGATTTGTCTGCTTTGTGTGTATATGATTGTTTGTACATAACAACTTGCTTGCTTTGCATACTTGTACATAACATCATAAACATCATAACATAATAAGCATTCTCACTAACTGTTGTACCCCAAAATTTGCACTCCCATATTTCTCAATACATGTCAAGTGAGGTCCTCAAATTGCTCAAGGAAGTTCAAAAGTTGACCAGACAAACTCTCTCCTAAGGCAGTCTACTTCAAATTAGGGTTTCATTTTGCATCAAGATGTTTGAGTCCAAAGGATCCTAAATGCTCACCATTGTCCTAATATGTTCTCAATATCATCCATGTCAAGTTTAAGGCCTTGCAGAAGAAGTTTGCTCAGTCAATTGCTCAAAGGCCTGAAAATCAACTATACTAGGTCAAAAGTCAAATGTGGCCCACATACAGTCAAACCTCAATATTTTTGGTTAACATCCTCATTTTGAAGTATTATCCATCATTTGATCAAGGATTGATCATGATTCCTCAAGGATTGCTCACAATTCAGTAAAACCCAAAAGTTGTAAATCAGGGTTTTGTAGGAAAAGTCAACTCAACTTTGACCAAGCATAACTTTCTCATACATTATCAGAAATGACCCATCCAAATCTAATTTTGAAGAGGATGCAATTCCCTTTCTATCCATGGTTATCCATGGGCTCTTAGGTACTTGCTTAGATCAACTTGCCTTGGTTTTCAATTGTTTGAAATGGTGCTTGGTGTGTGGTTTTGAAAATGTTTTGAAAAGATGCCTTGTATAGGCTACCCTTGTAACAATTCTTTACTCGAATGTTTTACAAAAGGTGTTTGTCTTTTGAAAAGATGTTTCAAGGTTTTTTGAAAGTTTGTTTTGAAAGTATTTGTGAAGTGTGGTCTGAAATTAGGCAAGTGTTTTCTTTGCAAATTGATAAGTACCTAAGAGTCATCTACCCTAAAGTTCTCAAAGATTTTTGTTATGTTTTAAACCTTTTGACAATTTTGTTCCACCATTGCATTTGGTGGACAATATTGTATTAGGAGGTAAAAGGGACGGGCACGGGTCATCGTTTAGACCATAATTGCAATAGTGTTAAATGTCTTTGGGCAATTTTTCTTTGAAAGGGATTTGATCATTTTAGGCAACTTTTTGAAAGCGTCATCGAGGGACTTATGATCATTTGATTGTTTGTTTTACCCAAAGAAACCTAACATGCAATATGGCCCAATTTATTTGAAGGCAACAAAGTGGAATACCCTAGGGGTGCAAGTGTGAGATGTGTTGTCCATTTTCATGCTTGTTTATCTTGAGATTAGGTCAAACTATTTTGTTCATTTTATTCGCATACAAACCCTAATTCTAGCATGGTATGTTTAGAAAGCATTAAAGTGCGAAATTTAAATTCCTACACTATTACAACACAATAATATGGGGAGGGGGTACAATGTTTCAAATGGGGGATATTTAGACAAGAAATTAAACCTAGCTATTACATCATTTTCTTTGAATATTTACAATATAATTAAAGGCATAAATTAAATGGAAATGAAATAAATATGCAAGATGTAAAAAGAATTTTTATATGCATGAAAAAGTATTATTTATGTAAAAATAAAAAGAAATAAAAAGGTATTATTTTTGGAGTATTCTCATATTTAGGGCAAAACCCTAATTTTAATCAAAAGGGGATTAATTATTTAATAAATAATATTTACTATTTATGTACAAAGAATAAAATAAAAATGAAGTATATTTGTAAAAATGT